AGACTATCCTCTACATCTATACCAAATTTCATTAAAATCCGTTCAGTCGTTTAGGAACATCTATCCATCCATCTAAACTTTCGCATTTATATTAGTATGATAACCCGTGCGCAGTTTTTGCGCTGTTAACTGCGACTCATTAAAATACATTTCTGGTTCATAAAGGATGTACGCGCGTTTGACGCTCTAATTCTAAAAGCGACGGATGCAAAATGTGTTCGACTTTTAATAACCATCCGTGTAGCGTAGAGCACGTACGGCTTAACGACTTTGTATCTACATGCCTATATCTACTGAAATAAATAGAAACGTAATAGAAAATATTATTTTGCATGAAGACAAAGAACTTCTTTCTACGGTTTATATATTCATGCATTGTTAATTTGAGTCAAAGACATTTAAAAATAAAACTACAGTGAACATTTTTTATCCAATTTATTTACCCTAAAGCGTGACGTAAGTGTAGGGATTTTTATTGAAAAAATAATTATTCAAAAATTTGCTGTGATTGCTGACAAGTTACGTCACAAAGAAGTGTGTGTTTACGCTTTATTATATTAGTATACCATAGATATGGTATCAACTGAAGTGTCAACAATGCTTTATATATATTTTTTTGAATCTCTTTGATATGAATACTTTGAATTCCAGAGAGGGGTTATTCTGATGAAGAGGAAGAGGGTGAATTCAGTTCCGTTGAGGAGGCTGACGAGATGACGTACGGCGCGCCCGCCAGGCGGCGCCCGCATCGACAGATAGAGTTCAACAAAGCTGATATGTCGTATACCAAGGTCTGTCAATATAATTTTATACAACTCAAATATTACGAGTTTATTGCATATAGCTAGTGATTTCCTGTAAAAATCATATTCATAAATTGACTAGACATTTTGATTTCATGCATTTTATAGTAGTTAACGTAGGCAATATTGCAACCAACTATATAAGTTAGGAACGCGTTGGCACGAGGCTGGTATGACAAAGTTTTAATAAGGCTTCGCCGGTGGCTTCGAGTTCGTAAACTACGTTAATTAAAAAAATACGCAAGAATAAGTTGATGTATGTGACGCGGTAGTTCGTTCGTATCGAGTATTTTTATAGTCTAATTTATAATTACATTTGACAGGAATTATTTATGTTACGGCATATTTTAGCACATGTTATAGCTATGTTTAACTTAGTAGTATTAAAAGTGATACGTTTTAACATTATATTTTTATAGTAGGCTAGTACTTAATTAAATATACATTTAATTATTTCTATGATAGACTATGGTAACATAGTAATATAGTCTGCTTGTGCTTCGCCTTACACCAGCATTGCTTTGCCCAGCTCTCTCGGTCACGTGACCTGAGCTACGCGGAGCGCGAGCGAAAGAGACACAGTTATGCGCGCTCCAAGTTGCACGACAGAGACAGCGACAGCGAGCTGGAGAGCGCGGCAGCTAAACGCAAGGGCAGCCGCGGGAAGCTCACGGTGAGCTCCCGCCACACGACATTGTACTGTGCGCCCTTTGTCGTAGAATTGGTTTTTGTTTACTGTCCTTTGTCTCGGAAAGCTCGTTTTGAGTGCCAGCTAAATAAAATTGTACCTTGTAATTTCGGTTGTAGAGTTGGTTTTTGTTTGTCTTTAGGGAAGTGCACGGTCAGTTCCTGCTTCGCAACATTGTACTTTGTGTGGTTAGACGTAGAGTTGATTTTGGGTTAGAGTATGAAATTAGAAATTGGACTCCCGTCACACAAAATTGTACTTTATCTGAATACGTTTAGAGTTGGTTTTTGTTTATTGTATCTCTTTGGTGTTAGTGAATTATTGGGTCTATACTCTATTAAGTATATTATTTGTGTACAAAAAAATATTTTTTTCCATGTCATTGCATGTAATTATAATATCTTGTTTCAAAAGTATGAATGTATTGTATATATATATGTATGTAATTCTTGATATATTTGTAATATTGTAACTATCAACTTTCCTATACTGCATGATACTAACATTTCCGTTTATGTATAAATATATAGTACACGTTATATTGGAAAAAAAAAATGTTTTTTTTTTAAATCTGTAACATGTTTTTTTTAATCTGTTAATATGTCACAAACAAATCTTTCCTCAGTTATAAGAGTAAATGATTCAACTTTCTTATCTACTAATGTAGACTATAGTAACTATGATAAGAATTTTGGTTTTATAACACTAAGGTCGTGAAGTGACGTCACACTAAACATACACTGTGATAGGCGTACGGTAGCTTATCTCTGCTTTCTATGGGATTAGATTATCTGTGCTAACGAGAGCCATACTGCTCAGTTTACTATGGAGATAAATAAGTGCTACATTTCCCTTTAGTGACTAATTATTTGTACGGGATTTGGACATAAGGATCATCATGGAGGTATAAGTACTTTGAGATTTTGATTCAATTTTCAGTCAAATTATCTGTCATAAAAACTTGATTATTTCTGATTAAATAGTTTGGTCAGGTTTTCTTTTATATAAGGACTAGCTGTTGCTTAAATAAAAAACATATAGCCTTAATTACTACACAGATTACTTACCCTTCTATCGGTGAAAGAATTTTTAAAATCGACCTAGTAGTTTTTAAATTATTTCAATACATACAAAAATAAAATGTTTCTTCTTGTTAATCTAGGCTATTATAGAGAGGAAAGATTTGTATTTTTTTATGTATTGCAATAACTTAAACAACAGGGCGAATCCCAAAAGTCTTACACCATTAAAAGCTATTTTATCAGTGAGTTATATAGGCCACATTTTTTATTTTCACGCGGACGAAGTCACGAGCAACAGCTACTATCAGTATAAAAAATAATAAAATTAAGTAAAATAATTTTTATTATTAAATCAAGTAAGTTACAAATCAATCAGTTGTAGGGACTTCCTTTTAAGTAACCAATAGGCACTTGTGTTAGGAAGTCCCGCTCTTCCGTGTAACACATAATGTAAGATATTCTTGCACAATCTATGCTATGATAAATAAAGCGCAAAAACACACCACCTTGTGGCACATATTTAGGACAATTCTTTCTTTAACAAAAAGCACTACAGTTACGACACACCTCAGGCTATATATTTTTACGCTATTAAAGTTAGGAAAGTATAGATTATAACAAGAATTCTGCATTTTTACAAGAAGGATAAAATAAGATATCGTTTGTTGTACAGCAACGCAACTTGAAGCAGAAGTTTGCGGCGCTGCTGCGTCGGTTCCGCGTGCCCGAGGAGCTGGGGGAGCGCGGTGCGGCGCGGGACACGCACCACGCGCAACGGGATATAGACGAACTGTTCCAGGTCAGTTACAATACTTAGAGAACACTTCAACCTTACAAATTTTATTTTTAATTTTATTTATTTATGCATAACTTACAGCTAACTTACCACAAAAATAATGAAAGAAACAAAAAACTGAAGCCTAAAAGGCTGAACGAATTTCGATGAAAATTGGCATAGATGTAGCGGATAGTCGGGAAGAATACTTCGTTTTTTTCAGGTTCACGCGAACGGAGTCGCGGGCGAAAACTAGTAAAGAAATGAAAGATTATTTTACGGTATTGTCAGCTGGGAAACAATTGTCAAATATTTGACTAAGGGTTAAATATGTACCAACCTCTTGGATGTTAAAGCCTCGCCTAAACTCCAAATTTCGTTTAAATTTTAACATCTGTCTGATTGTAAGGGAATTATTTAAAATTCGTTTCAATAATCGCCCTTAGACTTAATCTAGGTATAACAAAACTACAATATTTATAAGCTATATTGAAATTATTACAATTCCAGGAGCTGGAGTCCCTATCGTGTGGTGAGGGTGAGGATTCCGGACCTGACCAGATGGACACGATCAGCATCGGTTCCACCCCCAAGCCCTCGCTGCGGCCCTTCTTCAGCAGCTCCCGGTCTCTTGCCAACCAGGACCATCACCGGCACTCTAACGGTAACCAACTTAAGACATATATGTTACAAGATAATCTGTCCCTGATATATGAGTAATTAAAAAAAAATATATGTCTATGTCACTTGTAAATAAAAGAACTTTATATTGGTAAAAGATTTATTAAATTCAGTTCGCTACCTTTCGAGTTTAAAGTGAACAAACATTATTGTCAAAGAAAGATTCTTAATAGTCTTGGATTTACACATTACAGAGTAAAATGAGTCCTATTTGGTTTTCTTTTAAAGTACACAATGATTTTAAATCATAAATTAGATTCTAGTTTTTTGGATATACTTATTAATCTATTTTAAAATAAATTCACAAGTAATTGAATTAGCTTACGTTTTAAGGGATTATGTACAAATAAGGTAAGTTTAGCAAAGTGCTAACACTTGCACATAAGAATATAAAGTTTGACGCATAGTTATAGAAAATATATAAATGTTATATGAACGTGTAAACTGCCTGAGCATATACTGAAGAGTGCATTGTACCTAAGCTTTCATTATAATTTGCATAGTTAACAAAAACATTAAGCATTATAAGTTATGTATGTAACAGTATATAATCGATATTATTTATGTTTTCGTTATGTAACGCTGTGTGTATAGAATATAGTTTAACTGAGCGAGACGAGAGAGGGGTTATAACTTGGTCCTTCGAGCCTGATATAGAACAGGTTTATATTAAATAATTTCAATAATTTCAAATATAAATGAGTTTCTTATAAAATATTGTACTAAAATGACGTTTTGTTATGATTTAATAAAGGTTTTTCAAGTAATAACTGTAGTATCAGGTTCAAAAATGGTTATTTAGTAATTCCTGTCGATCCCCTTTTCCGTCTCGCTCGCACATAACGTGTGCGGCGCATGCGCAGTGACGCGGCACGCCAGTCTCGCGTCGGCCGCCGAGCTGAGCACACCGCGCGAGAGGCTGCTGGCCACGCTGCCACTCACAGGTACACTATAGCACCCATGTCTCGACTGCATGCAACTATTAACAATAAAATGTGGTTTAATATTTAATAATGTACCACGATTATTAATAAAAATAATCTTCAATCTCACTCTTCTATGTGTTTCATCATTTTCAAGGTTGCATCTTGTCGGTACACTGTGAATCTGGCTTTTGTTTGTTTTCTTTTCTTGTATGCTTTTTTGCTTTAAAGCATGTTTACTTAGCGCTTTAATTTTTTTTAATACTCTGATTTGGCGTGAAATCTTTCAAATTTCCTTCTACAACCTCCACCTATTACGATATTTTTTTTAAATCAATCTTCAGACTATTAATCGAATAGCAAAGCTATCTGTCTTTTGTTTATTTTCTATGTTTTCAATTTACGATACATGTCAAATACCACAGGATAAAAAGTTAGAGTTCATCTGAAATGCTGATAAAAAGTTATAGCTATATACCTAAAAAGCTCATAGTAACGAAGTTAATAACTGTCATGTCTAGATTTAATATCTGGTTAGGCAAGAAAATTAGACAAAAATCTAAAGTAAACGTCATGTAGAAAACATTGAAAGAA